AATCTGCTGAACAACTACTATAATCTGTTGAATGATTGATATAATCTACTGAACGAATGCTATAATCTGCTGAATGATTGCTATAATCTGCTGAACGACTGCTATAATCTACTGAATTACTCTGACACCTGCTGAACAACTGCAATAATCTGCTGAACAACTGATATAATCTGATGAACGACTAATCTGCTGAAGGACTACTACAATCTGCTGAATGACTGCTATTAGCTGCTGAACGACTGCTATTATCTGCTGAACAACTGCTATTATCTGTTGAACGACTGCTATTATCTGCTGAACGACTGCTATAATTTCTGAATGACTGCTATAATGAGTGTAGACCGCAGAGTCCTGGCCTGATGATGTTGATCTTCTGTGCTGGTCCATCCTTTTGGCCAGTGACTGTTTAGTTTCCCCGATGTAAGACTGATCACCCTCTTGACACTGAACAACATATACAATATTACTCTGTTTGTGCCGGGGGACTGGATCTTTGGGATGAACCAGTCTTTAATGTATTTTGGGGTTTAAAAGCCACTGGGACGTTATGTTTAGAAAATAAACGTCTCAGTTTCTCTGATACTCCCTCAACATATGGAATGACCACTGGTCTGGGTCTGGGTTCCTCCTTTTCACCTGATGGCTGACTGGAGTCCTGTTTGGGTTTCTTCTCTGCTTTCAGGAAGGCCCAGTTAGGATATCCACATTGCTCTAGAGCCTGTCTTGTGTGGGATTTCTCCTTCTGCCTGGCTCCTGAGTTAGTGGGGACGCTGTCTGCTCTGTGGTACAGAGTCCTGATGACTCCCAACTTGTGCTCCATGTTCTTAGTGCTGGCTGATTTCTTTCCATGTTTCCTTGATCTTAGCTTCCAGCCTCTTTCTTCATGGAGGTTAATCCTTATTGATTGGCTTGATCTTATAGCCAAGCAAGTCAAGGATCAGTGTAGCTGTGATGTATACCAGCTTTTTGGTCTCTGTGATGGTATATGTATGGGATACTTGGCAATGCTGCATTCACATCTTCTAGCAGACTTTCAGAAGGTACTTTGTTACTTAGTCCTGGCAAGGGGTGCAAGTTATAGGTGCCTAATGAGGTCACAATTTTTTTCTCAGGTCAGCTGCTCTTGTATTCAGTTCTTCGGGGCTTTTCAACGGGGTTTGGTACTCATACTCTGATGGTGTGGATGATGGTATATTCCCCTTGACCTGCCGTCCTGGCTCCCCTTTGCCATACCATCTTTATTGTATCTCATCAGTCTCTAGGTGTGATAGCAGATTCCTCTCTTGAATGTAAAAACACTGTGTTCAAAGTGGTTTCTAGGCCAAACTGGATGATGGGTATCAAAGTTTCCATAGTTCCCACATCCTTCCCATATAACCCCTACCTCCAGGCTTGCACACAGTGTCATTCCAACAGTGTTGTTCTCTGTCCTTCTCCATGCATGTCTTGAGATCAGAGGTCTATTCCGTTCAGATCTGAAAGGAACCGACTGACCCAACAGACTGAGTAACTCAGTGCAGGACCCACTCAGATGGTTCTGTTCTCTCAGGCGTGAGAAAGGGTTCAGTTCTGGGCCTTTATATCCCCCCAGGAACTCACGCTGTCAGATATATGTCAGACATTTAATCTTCAGCTGTAAGAAAGGCAGAACACTGTCACCATCGCTTTCGGCTGCCCTATCAGCTGCATTATTTCCCAAAGTGGCTGTAATTGTTCTGGTAATAAGTGATGAGAGCGCAGCTCTGAAAGGCATCCATGACAGACTTAATCAGGCGTTACCATGGTAACGACGGCAGTTCTGATCACCAAGCTCAGAAACCTAAAAATGGTTCTGGGTTTAATGAAGAGCTGAGAAACAACAACTCTTTTAATTAAGAAACCAAATATTCAATAGCCTGAAAAATAATTTATAAATACAACATTTAATACATTTGTGTTCAGTTTATATTTAATTAAACTGCAGATGAATCTTAATAAAAGGACTTGATTAAAATATTCTATCACCTGCTGCCATAGACTAAAGGATGATCATGTTTATGAATGTGTCTTTGTATTTGTCCATCTGTTAATAAAATATCTTTTGACTCTCAGAGGAGGAAAATGTTTTCTTTGACAATCAAATTGATGAAAACTGACATTTTTAACGCTGACATCTGAAGTAAAGTCTCCTCATGGTGCTGTTTAAACTTTTAATGCAGATTACAATTCATATCAGCAACATTTTATTTTATTTATTTCCTCCACAGTACATCTGGAGGGGCTTTAATTAAAAACTACAATAAAAACCTGTACAATGCTCCTTGATGTGATCTAATAAATCTGTTCTCTCCTGCAGGTGGATCCCATGTTCACGGTGCCAGCTCCTCCGGCTCCGGGTCACCCGGGGGCCCCTGGACCCTCCCTGCCCTCGGCCCCCTCCTTCTCCACCCCAGCTCTGCCCACCTCCAGCCCGAAACAACTGGTGGTCAGGACCCGGTCCGTCGGCACCAACACGCAGAATGGAGGCGTGTCGGGGGTCCTGGATGGGGACTCGGCCTGCTTGGGGCCCTGCCAACCTGGAACAAGTGTCAACTTGGAGGGGATCGTGTGGCACGAGACGGAGGAAGGTGAGGAAGATTCTGAAAACTCTGGACCCATGTTCCCTGAAGTTAAAGTGAACTCTGATTCTGTTCAGTCGTGTAGAACTGCATGCGACCCATTTGAGCTTTGAATAATGGTTCAGCTGTAGGTCCAACCAGGACTGTGTTTAACACTCAGTGATATTAAATATACCATTCATCTCCATTATCCTTTAGTTTTTATCTGAATTTGTGTCGGCTGTGCGCGACGTTCTGCTGCCGGCGGTCCGAGCAGACGGAGCACCGTGTTTTTATGAATAACTTTCATGTTTCATTTCAAAACTGCTCGACGTTATGGAACGACGTCTCAAACAGGACGCTGGTTTTGTTGTCAAACATGAATGATTTGGTTTGCAGTGAAAATCTGAGGCAGATGTGTCAAAATGTGTGGGGTTTGTGACGGATTGGACCCAAATGCAGACTCAAAGGTTAAAATAAAAAACTTTATTTTAACAAAGCAAAACGAAAGGCTGACGTAGCAGCAAAAACAAACATGTGGGAACTCAAACAATCACAGGGGGATAAACGATGTGAAACACAAACTTTGTATAGAGGCCAAGTAATGCTGTGAATAATTGACCATAGGCTGAATATATACAACAGAGGTAAATGGGAAATGAGACACCTGGGATGATTGCTTATTAAAAACATAACTGGAAAAAAGTCAGGAAGCTGACTGAGGGTAAATGGAAAATAGAACAAGGAAAACTAGGAAACAGAAACAAGACCTACACAAGAAATAAACATAATGAAGTCTAACAAGGTTGAGTCAGGTTCTCTGGACGGAGTCTTCTTGTTGAAACGTTTCATCTTTTGTCCAAAAGACTTCTTCAGTCTGAGGAGCTGCAACAAACTCAGTCTTACAAGCAGCACCTTCTCATAGTGGATCAACCAGTCGGCTGGTGACAGCCAGAACCAGCTGTTCACCTGCAGCAGCAAAATTAAGTGTTACTGCTTTAGGGTCATGAATCATGATGAGAGCAACGTTTGGTGTTGGACACAGAACAGTTAGAAGGCCAGACCCAGAAGTAAAGTGTGTCCTTGTGAAGATGGAGCGATGGAGAAGTGATTGAGTGATGGAGAGAAGTGATGGAGTTATAGAGTGATGGAGTAATGGAGTGATAAAGGAGCGATGGAGTGAAGATGGAGTGATGAAGTGGTGAATAAGTGAGATAGTGATGAAGGAGTGATGGAGTGAAGGTGGAGTGATGGAGGGAAGATTAAGCAATGGAGGAGTGATGCAGTCATGGAGGAGTGATAGAGGAATGATGGAGTCATGGTGGGATGAATGAGTGATGATGGAAGATGGAGTGATGGAGGATAAATAATGAGTGATGGAAAGATGGAGGAATGACCGGTATGAAAGAGTGATGGAATAGTGATGAGGAATGAAGGAGGATTAAAGGAGTGTTGGGAGGATGGAGGGATGAAAGAGTGATGGAGTGACAATGGAATGATGGGACGATGAAGGGGTGATGGAGGAGTGATGGATGAGGGATGTAGGAGTGATGGGAGGTTAGAGACAGAAACAAAATGAAGGAAAAGAGATTCAGACTGATGATGATGGCGATGAAGAGGGGAAGATGAAAGGAAAAAGAAGAAAACCTTTAAATATTTTTCTAAACTCCTGCAGTGAAGAACAGAAGAGGAAAATGAGGGTCAAAACAAGCAGGAGGAAGATTTCTCTCCTGATTCAGTCAGAGTGCGAGGACTGTGCCTGCTCCTCCAGGAGGCGAGGGTGGGAGGAGGGGAGGGGGATGCAGGATGCATATTAATTAAACTGAGGGAGGAGGGAGGAGAGCAACTAGTTCTTCTCTGCAGATCAGACTGATAACTAAGAGTGACTCATTTCAATCTTAATAACTGTCTGTCTGTCTGTCTGTCTGTCTGTCTGTCTGTCTGTCTGTCTGTCTGTCTGCCTGCCTGTCTCTCTTTAGTTTGTCTTTGAAGACACTGTTCTGTCTGAATCTTCAGTTCTTTTGATTTATTCAGGACGATGTGCAAATATAACACTAATGTAAAACCATTTGATTCATTGAACCAGATTTAGCCTCAGGTTGATTTTCCCTCAAGACAATAAAAAAATACCACAAAAAATAATAAAATGTTCAACAACAATGAAATAAAGAAAAAAGATACTTAACAAACAATAAAAACACAACCCTTCTCTCCTCGACCTGTTGCCTCCGCGACTCGACTATGGATAAATGGTAGAAGATGGAGATAGAAATGGAGATCTGCGTATAATTGGACTTCTACTTCATGACAAAACAATGGATTGTCATTGATGTAAAAGTGAAAAGCAGGGGTCCTAGCACAGATCCTTGGGGTACACCCATTCTGCACTTTAGGAAACTGGAATGTAAAAGTTACATTCTGCTGGATAGATATGATACCATCCAATAAAGTGCTTTAGATGAGAAATTAAAGTTTAGAGATGAGAACATTTTGATTATCTGTTTCAAAGGCTTTATGTAAGTTCAACCCAAACAGGAAGTTAGTTCCAGAGTTCTGGGTTAAATCGAAAGCACTTGTTCTTCTAAAGCTCTCAGAAAAATAAAAACAGCAACATTTTGATTTCACAACATTTGGATGGTTCTCATCTTCCTGTCATCTCTGGTATCTGGGACCATCCATCTTAAACCAAACATTTAAAGAACATTTGATGTTCTTCAACATTTAAATTATATTTTGATAATATTTGGAGCTTTTAGAACTTTGACCTCTGAGCTTCAGGTTGCAAAAACCAAAGCTCTCATGGTTCTGCTGCAGATCCATCATCTGTTTAATGCTGGAAGAACTTTGTTCTTCATCAGGAACATTCTTCATTAGGAATGTTTTTCATCAGGAAAAAATCTTAATCAGCGATGTTCATCAGGGATGTTCTTCATCAAGAAAGTTCCTCATCTAGAACGTTCCCTCATCAGGAACATTTTTTCATCAGGAATATTTCCTTATCAGGAATGTTGCTCATCGTGAATGTTTCCTCATAAGGAACGTTTCCTTATGAGGAAACATTTCATCATCAGAAAAGTTTAATCATCAGGAACATTTCCTCATCATGGATGTTCTTCATCAGTAACATTTACTCATTAAAGATGTTCATCAGGGATGTACCTCATCAGGAACATTTCCTCATCAGGAACATTTCCTCATCAGGAAC